TCTTCTGCATGGTTTATTTTCCTGCAAGTGTATATTCTAAAGTTTCTCTGGTATTTGTTAATAATGCAAGTTTATATTTAGTGTGAGAAAGGGGGAAAAATTTAATATAACAATCAAGGTAGATGCCATTTTGAAACTCTAGCATTTGTATATTTTATAGCATTATAAAAGCAACAAATACGATACACCTTCACAGAAGTTTTTCAATTTAATATACTTTATGTTACTGATAATCAGATATAATCTTAATTCAGTGTCTTAAATATAGGACAGTTAATGTAGGATATTTTTAATATTTATGAATTCCTAAAGCTTTCCGAGGACATTCTCGGTAAACCCAGTGAATGGAAACAGGTGTTCTAGTGCCTCTTACGCCATAAATGACAGTGCTGAGTTTATAGCCAAGAGGTCATTCGTCTTCCGAGACTCCGTCTTCACGAACACACCTTTGCACACATGCAACTCCATGGTGTTGTTTTCAATAATTGAATCTGGCTAATTAAAAAAACAAACAGGATTCTTTAACTATTGCTTCTGAAAAGTATTTTTAATGATCTCGTTTGAAACTATTACCGCTTATAATATGCAGTGTCTCTGCTTCTATTTTTAAATGTTTTATTTTTGGATTTTTAAAATTGATGTATGATGCCCAGTTTGTATTAAACTCTACCACATTGCTGCAATGTTTTTCATTACCTGTGGTGGGTGTTTTCAAATGATGGAAAGTCACCATCGGGACAGATACAGTGGACTATGAGCTCTTTCTTCCCTGAAGAAGCGATCGGAGAGCTCGGGCAGTTCCAGGCCAGCTGATGCAATAATAGTAATTCTCACCAGCCTGGACGGTTGTATCAGCCTCAACCATGGGTTCCCGTCTGCTATAGCGTAGGCTCCGTGGTACTGTCTTGGAAGTTAACTTCCAGCCACAAACTTGGCCATGTCACTCTTGCTTAAAAACATAAATTGATCCTCACAGGGTCACCCGAAGTCATTCCTAAAAAGCCACATCTTTTCCTGTCCTCTGTGAGTGGCAGTTTGGGCACAGCTGTGGCCAGAGAAGGAGCACACCAGGTAGTAGGTAGTTGTAATGTGGGAGCCTCATTTCTTGTATCTTTTGTTGCCAAAAATGTATTTCATTATCAGCAGAGCCCAGGCATTCAGAAAAGTCATCAGATCAACCCAAATAGGATACATGATTTCCATAGCCGTTTGAATATTTTTAGTTTATAAACAGAAGGTGTCAACCACTCTTTATAGGGTTTATGGATTTTTCTAAGGATTTCAGTGAAAAGTCTTTGATGAAACTCACATCAGCGTTTGAGAATTCAGGGACAAATGGCTACAGAATGCGTAGTTGTATACATAGCGGTTGCGCTGAATGGGGATGCTTGCTTTTGTCATGGTAAAAAGGGTCGGAGGTTCCGAGGTCGTGACAGGGGTTAAAGGATTAGCGTGTGACAATAAGTATCAGTCAGGAAAATGGAAAAGTAGAACTAATTTTTCTTGCACCCACCTGTGCTCTCTGTCAAATAAAAACTTGTGGTGGTGACATAGTGAGGAGGAGAGACAAAGGTTAATGAGTAACACAAGTTCAGATGTGTAATGTGTTGGAGCGTAAATTGGATCATACAGTCCAGCGTGGCTGGGTGAGCTAACAAAAGAAATTGAGATCACAGTGGAAAATTTTGGGAGGCAAGCAACTTAATTTCTGTTGTCGGAACAGCTTAAAACTATTAATACACGCCGATTTTATTTAGCGTAAGTTTTGTTTGCAAGAAGCACTTTTCAAAGACAAACCGCAACTGTTCGGAAGGCCAGAAGAATTCCGAACGTTCTTCTATGACTTAATCTTTCGCATCCGTGTTACAAAGAACGTACCAGAGATACTTGCTCTCTTGTTCTTAGAATACAGTAGACATAAAAAGTAGTAGCTATTAAATGATGTTATAATTATTTGAAACTTGGTATTAACAAGTGTTAAAAATTTGGGAAAGCCTTTAATAAATGCAGTCGTAATCACAATGTTTTATTTTAATGATTATACGATTTAAACGTTAGACTTGCTCTAACAAGTACGTATCTTCATACTCTATAGGGTAGCGAGTATCTTTATATCTCTGTAAGAGAAAACATTATATCTTTAGCATTGAAAAGTTTACACTTGTACGTGGGGAAGAGAAAGGAATTCCCCCAAATTATAAACTTTTTAAAAGTCAGACCTTCTGGAATTAGGAAAATAGTCTTATGTAAGAAATTTCAGAATCTGCACTTATTTTAAATTTTATTTTCTTTCTGAGGCAGAAATTTAAACTTTTGCTATTTCATTTTTAAAAAGTAGAAAAAATTCAAGTGAAGCTGAAAAAACATTTTGAGAAACATAAAAATAAATAAATGACCCATGAAAGTCTAAGAGGCAGAAAGTGTCTGTCAGTTCTATTAATTCGCGGTGGTGGCCCAACAGAAACACGTTTTGTGAATCCAGCTCGTAGATAAAAAGAAGGGTCAGAGTTCACAGAGCTAGTTTATCGCCAATGGTTCTCATGGATTTTTGTTTTCCCTCAGGTTTTCTGGGTTCATTGTTTAAATGGCCTCTTCCACTCAGTTATTCTGTTTTGGTTTCCACTAAAAGCCCTTCAGTATGGTAAGTAGAACGGATATGAATGCTAAGAGATGACTTCTTACTTTTTTAGAAAAATATCCCATTGACAATATATGTTAAAAAATATAGCAGTGTTTCATTTTGTGGTGTTTTCCTGAACCTAAAACACATGCATCCAAAAATTGTACGTACTTTAAAGATTTTTATTATTCCTTTGGGAGCAAAGTGATTTAATATATGCAAAGCCTTTCTTCTTCACTTCTCATGTTTTCCAAACTTGCAGAGAGTTGAATTTTAGGGCTTTTCTCTCCCCCTGTTGATGTATAGTTTGAGGACAATAAGTGCTAATATTTTATGTAGCCTGTTTTATTATACCTGTGAGGCTTGTATCAAGCTCTTGATACTGAACCTAATCAGACATGCTCGTGT